TCTATATTTCTATCTAAATTTATCTATATTTCTACCTATCTATATTTCTATTTTTCTATCTAAATTTATCTATATTTCTATCTATCTATATTTCTATTTTTCTATATAAATTTATCTATATTTCTATCTATCTATATTTCTATTTTTCTATATAAATTTATCTATATTTCTATCTATCTATATTTCTATTTTTCTATATAAATTTACCTATATTTCTATCTATCTATATTTCTATTTTTCCATCTATATTTCTATCTATATATTCTATATATTATATTTATATATTTTATATTCTATATTTATATGTTCTAACATATACACTTATTTTTATCGCTTACTAATCTTATTACCACTATAATTATTGTCACTGATATAAGGTAATTTGTTTACCTGGTGGTATTTCCCCTAAACCATCCGGACCCCGACTCCAAACCACTATAATAGCCGCCAGACTCGGCACTCTGACCATCAACCGAATCAGCGCGAAGAGCGATTCCACTTGATGCGCCTCGATCACTGCGGTGAAACCCGTTCCTGCGGGTACATTCCTGGGTAGAAACAACGCTGGTGACTCCTGAAATATTCCCACATCTTTGACTAACAAAAAGCATAGAAAAATTTTTGCAAAAAAAGAAAGAAAATTAAACAATAAAAATTCCAAAAACAAACCATTTTTTTGCGAGTTTCACCCAATGCAGATGGCGTTTTAATTTTATTCGGTAGAATCCTATTCTCCAAAATTTCCAACGTTTTTGCGGCGATTTCTCGAAGCGACGCGAAATATTCGTTGTATATCCGTCCAATTTCGCGTCGCATTCTCCCAACCCGCTCCTCTTCTATTCGCCTCACAACCCCCAACACGGCACTCGCCCGGCTGTGATAGAGCGATAACGATATCCTGCAATAATAATATTAATATTAACATTAATCTCAACTCGAAGCTGAAATCTGAATCCACCGAATTCACTTCTTAGATTCACTTCGAATATTTTTGCCGATCGAACCTATAGCCTTCATATCCTTTCAGGTGATATGTGCTATAAACCACATATGCTATAGAGCAGAAACGACGTTGGGGTGATATGATATAGAGCAGAAAGAATTTTGGTGAAGGTATTTTGA